AAAAAAAAAAGAAAAAAAAAAGAAAAGAAAAAAAGGTGGGGGGGGGGGGGTACTCGTAGTCGTGCATGCCGTAGTCGTTGGACCATTGACCTCGCATCCCTGCAAAGCCGGGACGGAGCACGCCGGGTTCTCATCGGACCAGGCTCTCACATCACCAAGCGCGAAGCGCCGTGAGGTATTCGGCGAGTCGCATGAAGGGTGCGCTGCATCCTGCTAAGGGTGCTCGGCATCTTGTGCTTACTTCCTTGCGTACGGATGACAGCTGCGTCTGACTTAATTTATTTTCTGGTGCTTTCACTTCCAGAGACAGTTATAAGCACTGTGTAACTGCCTCGAGGATGCTTGACCATTTTAACACAACGTGGTGCGATCATCCCCCTTGCGCGGAGTGAGGGTTCTCGACCCCGCACAACATGATCTACTCGACCACCATTATGGTTACCGCAAAACAAAAAACCGAGGTAAAAAAAAAGGTGGAGGGGGGCGTAGAAGATCCGGGGGTGGGGGGAGGGCATTTACTCCTTGATGCGCCTGACTGACCTGACGGCCTGCGGGCAGCCGAGTCTGATACCACCGACTTGTGTTTGAGACAAGATGGATTGCATGCGCAGGTCGCTACTCTCGGCTTGAGCAGACACACCGCCGTTCTTGACGCCCACCAGATATAGGTATCCAGATGCACACAGACGCTGACGCGCGGCACGTGTCGGATAGGGCGGAGGCGGAGGCACAGCAGCTTGTTTTGGGGGCCTGTCTCCGACTATTTACCACGCCTCTTTCGTCGGTGGTGGCGGTGCTGCTGCTGCTGCTGCTGCTGCTGCTGCTGCTGTTGGTGGTGATGGTGGTGGTGGTGTGTTTTGCGTGCGCCTCTTCTGAAAAGGCCGACGTTTTTCCTTCTCTCGGCTCCAAGCGGGTGCAGGACAACCCTAACCGCGTGCACATGCCATACATGACACGTTCAATGAGAGCTGCGAGCCCAGCTCTAACGCATCGGGCCGTTCAGACTTACCGGTGTTGTATCCCCCAACCGACCCCCCCCTTCCCCCCCATCCTTGTGTTTCGTTCGCGCCCCGCGACCTTAGGGCGTGCCGGAGGCGGAGGGTTGGGGAGCCGCAAACTGGACAATACCCACCCTCGCACGAAAGTACCCGAATATGACGGTGACGGTCGGTACGGACGACGAAGACAAACCTATACGGTTATCCATGAAAGACTTCGAGCGGTAAGTGGCGGTAAAGAAACGGGACAACAAACGAGACATGATGTGACAGCAGCAGCAGTGGTAGATGAATGCATTGTGTTTTTTGCCGAACGGGGGGAAGGCTTATTATCTACATGCTGCACTTTTCTGTGGTGTAGTCTATCCACGCTGTTGCAGCTCGTCCGCCTTGGTTGGCCCTTATTTCCGGAAAGCCATTTCCACTTGTAAGCGGGTGCCCTCCACCTTCGTAACTTGGGAAGAGAGGAGAACGCTGTTGTACACGAAAAGACGAGTGTTGTACAGGTCCTGGCTCCCTTTACAGGGCGGGTGGTACGGCGTGTAAAATCTCTTGGCAGAGCAACAGCATCACAGCAACAGCGTCGCGGTAGCTTCAGCCTGCCTTTGCAGACAGCTCGCTTCCTTGGGTTTCTGTCGAGGTGGTCCTGATTGTGGTTTTGGCGACACGCTGCTGTGTTCGACAACGGACAAGAGTCCGGCCTTCCTTCCTTCTTCCTCCCGCCGTGCGTGCCAAAGTCCGGCCGTACGAAGAGGGGCACGTCGTACTTTTACCATCCGTAATTTGCAAAGTTTGCGTGACATACTGGCGAGAAAGCTACTACTCAATAACAACAACAACAACAACAACAACAACAACAGGTACTCTGACACGAACACGGACGACACGCCGATGTACGTCTTCGACTGGCGGGTGTACGACGACCATGTCGGGAAGGAGGCCATGTCGGAGTACCGCGTCCCTTCAATCTTCACGGAAGACCTCTTCCAGCTGGTGCAGGGGCACAAGGATTATCCGTCACACAGGTGGGGACACGTGTGCCGGATTGCCGGGTATGTAGCATGTCGTATCTACGCGTCTGTCTTTCTTATTTTTTGTATCGACTGGTTGAGGCGGCTGGGCCACGAACACAACAGACATTTTTCACCGAAGGCTTTAACCGGGTGGCAGACGAGAGACGGGCAGCAGAGAGACAGAGACGAAAGCCCAGAGAGAGAGAGAGGGTGTACTGCCGCCAAAGGATATAACCACCGGTCGTGCAAGTTTACCATGGGTTTCATCGTTGTTATGTTTCACACCTCGAAATGAACGGCACAATCTAAACGACGTGCCACGACTTGTGTCTGTGTCTGTTGTTCTCCTCGTGTCGTTTGTCCAGGTGGCTACTTGTGGGGCCCAAGAGATCGGGTAGCAACATCCACAACGACCCTTTGGGGACGTCCGCCTGGAACACCCTGCTCAGCGGGAGGAAGCTCTGGTTCATCGCCCCTCCCCACCTCGAATGTGCGTACGGATGTCGTCTCTTTTAGGTGGTAGACTAATTCTATATCGTCGTGACCAACCATGCGGCGGCGGTGGAAAACCCCTCCATCATCTATCTTCGCTTTCTGGGGTTTCGCGGTGAGTTTTTCTACCCCTACGCGCTCGCAACGTTTGCTTCACTCCTGTCCAATAATCTGCGAACGTAGTACCCTAGGACGGGGGTGGTAGAAGGTGCCGCGGTTGGTCAGGCCCGGGTCCCCGACCCCCCCTCCGTTCTCTCGTTGTAGTGCGGCCTGTGGTGCCTCTTTCCTTCCACGTCATCGATCGTTGGAGGAATAGCACTACCGACATCCAGCGTGAGTTCTTCGTACGACTCACAGCTCCGCACTTGTGGCTTCTACTGTGTATAGGTGTATAGGTATAGAGAGAGTCATACAAGCCCTCTCGACGGTTGCACACGACGGGCTATTTAGATGCTTCTAGAATGGATCGAAACGGTCGAGATTTTGCGAGGATGCGCAGAAAAACGAGGAGAGCAGTGTCCTACAGGCCCATCCTTGCCCCCCCAGTGGCATCATCTATCTGTGGTGCCTGTTTTTTGTGTTGCTGGTGCTGCTGCCGTTGTTGTTTTTGCCGTTGTTGCTTCATGCAATCCTCTTTATTTTTGTGCGAGCATTGCAGTTCCCTGAAGCGTCATTTGGTCGCTCGCCGCAACAGAGTGTCTGATGTACTACAGTAGCATTCACTCTCGTGGAGAATCCCGATATCTTAGATCGGTGATCACCGATGGCAAAAGCATACACGATGGTTGCCCGGCGCCGTCTTTGCAACTGTTTGTTGTGTAGTGGTCAAATCCCTCTTCCTCTTCGCCGCGGTTTTCGATTCCGTTCTCGCTGCTGCCACTTTGTGCCCTGTCTCTTTTCTCTCTCGCTCTTGTTCTAATGATCTTCCTCCTACCCCCCCCCCCCCCCCCCTCTGGCCTCTCCCTGGCCCTGGCCATCATCCGGCCACTCCGTGATCTATCGCTTGACGCATAACGCCGATGATGGTGGCGGGCAGCGGCGTTGCTGAAAACCAGGAAATCCTGCACTGCAAAGTGGTTCCTCGAGGAGGTGCCCAAGATACAGTAAGTACATCGTCTTGTTCCTTCTCATATGTCGAAGGATAAGTCAAGGTAGATGAATAGAGGAGGTGCCCCAAGGTACAATTAAGTGCATCGTCGTATTCGAGGCCAGGTTAGTTGAATCCTCAAGGCTAAGGTAGATGTGGTTTACCTCTTCTCCATGCCGCCAAAAGACCCCCCCCGGTAGGCTTTGTAGGGATACGAGGTCAATGGTCTAACGACTACGGCATGCACGACTATGAGTGCACCCCCCCCCCCCCCCC